TGAGACTTAAAAACTTTAAGCGGTAGTGTATGTTCTGTTCATATATGAGCATATTGAAGTTGAACACATCTGGGATTAGTCATGGTGGAAAACTGAAAACCAGATACATTGCTCTGTGTATTTCCAGCATCAGTGCTGTTCTTTTAAATACAGACTGTCAGACCTCATCTAGTTCAAACAATCCCAAACGCTCCTTTGCATTAAATCCAGCTCTTGGCTTATATATGCATAGTACAGTCAACATTACAAGTGTTGAGAGCTGAGCTTCAGTCGCCACATTCTTCTCTTCTGAATTTAGCAAGCAAAATGCAAAGCACTCGCTAATTATGGATTGAGCAATCTGATGCTTGTTTTTTCTTCATTAAGGCAACTGCAAGTGGTGAAGTGCTGTTTTGTATCCCGACAGATGTAGTAGATGTAATATCTATATTCTATAAAACCAATTAATAAAAAGTGTATGGACCCACTTCATATTGTGTTTAACTACTACATTTAAATAAATCACTTGATACAATGATCTTATCGTGAACATTCCTGTTTTTATATCCCACAGCTATATCCCACCTCAATAGCAGCAAAAGTGTTTTGCAGTACAACACAGTATGTACATTGTGCTTACAATATTTTTTGAAGTGAATGCTTATATAATCCCACCAACTGTATTGCTGGTATTATACAGATAATAATACAGCTTAATTCTCCTTTCATACTGCAAAGCGTGCTAAGAAAACAGACTTCGAAAAGACTAAAAGGTGGAAGACGACATTCAATTGAGCTAATAATAAAAAATGATATGTATTTGGTTTGTTTAATCCAAGCAAACACAACTGAGAAAACATGTGGCCTTCAAAAGCGCTTTGTCTACAGGTGCAAACCTTTTCTTTCTCTTGTTATGAACTAACAACAGGGGGAAAAGGCATAATAGAGTAGGAGAATATAAGCAAGATAAAAAGAAAGAGCAAGAGGTGGGAAAAGGCACTTTCGGTCAGTTCATATGAGGCATGACGGTTTTGGCAGTTGCTCTGGGCAACATGCCATTGTTTACATGTGGGAGGGATTTTAACAGCTCTCAGCAATGCCATAGGCTGAGGTCAAGTTACACTCTATCATCAACAACTTTGAAATCTTGTGGTGAACCCAGCAATGTTCACGGAGCCTGAAATGTGAATTAAAATATCCATGAAATGATCAGACCTCAAACATCTTGAGTGTTGTGAAACTGACATAGTTGGCTACCCAAAACATTGTTCATTTGGCTACTTTTAAATAGTATTAACTCTCATATATACGCATTAGAGAATTTAGCAATAATTATATAGTAGCAGAGTGATTTAAATAATATATTTCTTTTAAAAGGCAGAGTGTGAAAACTTCAGCCATTGCGCAACAGGAAGCAAGAAGTGGAGCAAAGGTAAAGGAGGAAAGAGGCTATTTACAAAAAAAACCCCTTTACAGTATATCTTAACAAATAAAGAACATGCTCTACCAACGCACAAATGAACTTAAATGCAGATCTGCACGAAATACCCACAGTAAAAATAATCCAATTTGATGGGGGTCTCATTTATTTTAACTACCAAAATCCAAACAAGAGCACTGCCCGCAAACTGAACTTTGACCTGTAAAGGACCAGAGTCCTTCATGACCTCATCGTCTCCTTTCACATACACAATGGGAGTCATCGTGGCCTCCCGCTCCTCAGTTTGAACCAGCTGAGACAGCAGAGGACTAATCAGATTAAAAAGAGGAGGAAAGGGAGGAGATCAGACTGAATTAGATACAACAAGAAACACTGGTAATACTTTAGTTAAAGTAACAATTCTCACTATTAACTAGTGGGTTATATAAATTGGCTGTTTATTAGTACTTATACAGTACATATTCTGCATGATCTTATTCTACATGGTCCTACCTAATACCTAAACCCAACTACTGCCTTAATAACTTTTAATAAGTAGCAAATTAGGCGCTTATTGACCTTATTCTAAAATGTGGAAGTGCGCCTGTTTTCGCGATTGTCTTAGAACTTCCGTTAAAGTCGCCTATGGGAGAAATGACAAGGATTAACAAACGGCAAAAAACGGTCAAACTACTTGCTCTACAAACAAATGTTTGCATGACTATACAGACCAAGTAGAATAATATAACAAGGAAATATCAGTTTGCAACATCAAACAGCGAAACGAGCAGTTTTTAATGTCTAAAAATGAATGGAAGTGAATGAGACCGGAAGTCTCGTGCCAAAAAGATTCAAATGGCAGCGCCCGCTCGTCTGCGGAAAATAAGGTCAATTGAGGCTTCTGACTAAAACTTTGTCTTCTTCTCTAAATATCTAACATTTATTGTATTGTTTTCAGAAAATGTCAAGATTAAGAGATATTTTTCTAAAAGAAGCTTAATATTCTACCAGTGGGGTAAGCAAAATTACATACATTTTTGGTTTGAAATAAGATTTTTTATTTTCTTACCCTAAACCGAGATATTATGCCGAGTTCAGACTGCACGATTTTCAAAGTAGTCGTGTCACAGATGTTTTCCCACTGCACGACTATCTGGGGTAGCGTTCTGTCGCTGCCGTGTTTACACTGTAGGATGGATCTGCGACAGGAGGTTTTACACTGCATGACTTTAAAATAGGAGAATCGCCAACAACTTTGTCTCGGTATACAAACTATGTCTCACAACCAACCAATGTGAGGTCATGTAGTATATCTATTGTTAGTAACTACATAATGAAAATGAAGCTTTTGAGGGTAGAAAATGTCCTTATTTTGCTCCCCTGGGTTTTGAAAAGAATCAGCCTTTTCTCTTAAACCTTTTTTTTTTCGACCTAATAGTGGTATCGCTTAGATGACACGTCTTACAGACACGGGTGCTGCTGCTAAATTAACACTAGTTTTTCCTTAATTTCTTGGGTTTAAATAGACTGAAAAGAAGCTCTTTTAACTTCTCCTGCTACAACCTGCTGGCCTGCAGATACCCATACTAATAAATGTTAGATGCTGCTCTTTCATTGGCTGTAGGTAATCACCGATGTTATTTTCAATCAGAACACATTTCACATGGCATGATTTGAATTGAGATCTCATAAGTGTCGGCGACTCATCTGCGATTCTCTCAGATCGAGTCTTTGATAGTTTACACCAGTGGTCACCCAACTTGTCCATGAAGGGCCGGTGTCCTGGAGATTTTAGCTCCAACCCTAATCAAACACATCTGAACAAGCTAATCAAGGTTTTACTAGGTATAGTTAAAACATCCAGGCAGGTGTGTTGAAGCAAGTTGGAGCTAAATCCTGCAGGGACACCGGCCCTCCAGGACCGAAATTGGTGACCCCTGATTTACACTGTGTGATTGCTACTCACGTAAACGAGCACTGATTTGCCTGTGATTTTAGGCATTTGTCAGCGATTTCTCAAAAGCTGTCGACGAGTCAAAATCGGGGCTAAAATAATGCAGTCTGAACGCAGCATTAATTAGCTTGTTTTAAGATAAAAAGTTACATTTTTCTGGAAAAATTATTATTTACTTGTATAGAAAATAATTCTTTAACTTAATATATATATATATATATATATATATATATATATTTGGCCTAAAAAACACAACAAAAACTCTACCAAATAAAAAAATAAGTAAAAAAGTGCAGTTAATAGTTTATTAATATCAAGAGTTGTACATAAAAATAAAGTGATTGAAACACTTTTTAATCTCAAGTGCCTCCTTTTGACTTTGCTAGACTTTTCTCAATCTTAGTTGGTAAAACGAATAAAGTCTTGATGTTGACGCTTCAAGAGCTGAAAGACTTGGGTTTTGTGACTATATCAAGTGTTGAAAGTCCAGTATATGACTAGTGGTGTGTGTGCGAGGATGGTCAGCATGAGGAGAGGATGATGACTGAATGACCTTCACATGTGCCTGTTGTTATTTTCCATAGGGGTCAGCCACTAAGAATGCAGAAACCACATATCACAACCTCCCTATCTAGTCATTTATGAGTTTCTCTGCAACAGATCCATAACCACAAAACTTGCGATAAGAGACTGACACTAAGTTTTTTTAAAAATGTGTCTATTTTAGGCAGTTTCCCCTCAGGATATCCTTTTGGACATGCTGTATATTTACTTTCAACCTCTCGTACAGATTACACCCAACCAGCCCATGCAATGCTTGTGCAGAAAGTTACCTGACAACTTTTGCAGGCAGGCTGTGCACACATCACTAATGCTGCATGAGCAGAAACAATTCAAAGACCTTTAGCAAGTAACTGATGAGCGATTTTATGCATTAGGAGTGATAAGAAGGAATCCGAGCTTTTTCTTTTTCTACATCACTTGCTTTATCAATCAACCGGCAGCATATGCAGACAGCTGTGAGGAGCAGCTTTGATGCTGTCTGAAACTATGTCTCTGTGCGTGTGCCCCTTCAAAACACCAGGGAGAGAAACACAGAAAGAGAGAGAGGGAGTCTCTATTTCGGGATGCAGTAGATGTCTGGACGTCTGAACAAAGGAGACATAGACGAGACAGGAGAGAAAGACGGCAGCTGAGTCCATCATGCACTGCAGCAGTGAGCGAATCCCTATCGTTAGGATTAATACAGATGCACCGACACACATGCGGAGACTCCAGATGTGTACCGACACACACATATAATCATATACACTATATAGAGTATGTAGCATAACTCTGCATTCACACAATACTTTTTACAGATTTTTATAAAGTCAATACTTTTATTAGATTTGTTCATGCAAACAACTGCCTTGTCTAAACAAACAGTCTTTTTTTTACTAAGCTAAACTTAGTATTGAAGCCGCCTCAAAGTGGAATATTGTTACATAATTTGGCATTAACCTATAATTCCCCACGTGTTTAGATGAAGAAAACCTGTGTGCTAACTTTAGACCCTCCCATTGCCATGAAGCGAGAAACTGTACTGAGAAAAACATGCCAAACTTAACTTCTCAATCACACTCCAGACTCCAAAAATCTACTCACCCACTTCACCACAACTTCAGACGTCCATTCTGCGTAGCGGACCAAGATATTTGAAAAGCACGTACGACACACGTTGTGCTCTGCTCCTCTATTTTACTATACTTTTCCTTTAGGAGTCAGTTAAATCCAGTTCCAACCTCCACCCATGAGCAACAATGAGAGCGAGAGAGAGAGAGAGAGAGAGAGAGAGAGAGAGAGAGAGAGTGGTAGAAGCTAGTGAACGCTCCAGACACAAACGCTCAGTGAAAAGACCACGGCCACTTTTCTGCATACTCCTCCACCCCCCACCCTCCTGCCCTCCCCTCTCACACTCAGTCCTGAAGCAGAGCAGAAGCCATCTGCTCTAGTCCAAAGTCCACTGCAACTCCAGCCGCTGTCAGAGAGGAACAATCAAAACTTACTGTTTACACTCTATTGAGTTTCATCCTCACAGTGTGTTGTTATGCGAGCATATGCGTACGGTTGCATTATTATCAAATTATTATTATTTTTTTTTTAAAAAGGCCAACTGCAGGATTACTTTAAAAGGTGGAAGAACCAAGCGACTTGGTAGTTCTAAAAATAATTTAGCTTGATACATTACAACATTCAATTGATGTGTTTTTGCATGTATTCGTTTGTCTTTCTCATTTGTTTAGGTACAAACAATAGCATAGTTTTTAAAACTCAATCACAGATCAAGATCTTTAAAGTATATTCTGTCATGCCTGAAATTGTTCATACTTGGGCTGCACAATATATAATTTAAGCATTGATATTGCAATGCGCACATCTGCAATAGTCAATTGCAGGACATGCAATTCTGAGTTATGATTTTAGTTGACCGGGAAAAACCATTAAGAACACATAAGAATTGTATAGTCTCATGTTTACCAAAAGGAGTGTGTGACAATACAGAAACTTTCTGTACTGCCCCTATTTTGTGTTTACTTCCTTTGTCACTGCCTTTTATAATGAGTTCATCCCCATTGGATGCTACAACCAATTACGATGATGTGAAATTATATAAAAGGGTTTTTTTTTTTTTTTTTTCTGAGAGAGAGAGTTCTGACCTCCAGTGTGGGAGTGGTGTTTGCGTCACCAAGTTGCGTTGCGGGTGTGGCTCTGCCTGGGTCTGAGGAAGCTGAGGAAGAGATGCGGCGATGCTCAAGTTTTCACTGACTTGTCCTTTATAGCCACGGTAACACCAAGTTTCCTGGTAATTGCTGACGAGTGCCAGTCTTACGTTACCTTCGTGTTGAAAAATTACCGGTGCGATGTGTTAGGACACCTCCGAAAACGGCTGCCTGTTCATAATTTCTGTCCGTTCTGCCAAGTCACCTGCCAGCCAGTGAACTGCTGACGTGTAACCTCCTGACGTCACCACTGCAAGCCTCTTGGGTCAGTTTCACTCATACACTTACATACATACATTCTCCACCCAACCTCCCTTTATTTTCATTTAATTAGTTATTTGAGAAATTTGAAAAGTTTTGTTTATTTATTTCTTGGTGTATTTGTTGTTGTTTTTTGAGAGGAATCTTGTTTTGGGTTACTTAAAATGATTGTAGGATTTTGACTATATAAATATTTATTTTTGGTATTGTTGTTACTTGTAGTTGTATTTGCCATTTAAATTAATTCATTAAATCTTTCTAAGTGGAATTCGATTTTCTTGTTCTTATTTCGTATGGTTCTATGTTACTGTATGTAACGGAGGGTCTTGTATAAGTTTTGTTTTCGCTATCCTGGGTAATTAATTATAGTTAGATTTATTTGTGGCAAGGTTTAAAACTTGTCTGGCACCCGAAATCATGCATAAAATTTGTTAATATATGTATGTTATATTATAATATATTTTATTTTTTTTGCCCGAGGGTGACTGCGTTAGAGGGAGATATTACCAGACGCACCGCCTCAACAGCGCCTTCCGTGGTTCAGTGGTAGAAATCTCGCCTGCCATGCGGGAGACCCGGGTTCGAATCTAACCTAAGAGTTATTAATTAAAAATTTTTTTGTGTGTGTGACCACCGTTACAAGTGAAAGTTCTGATAGAACTCAGAATATTCAGGCACACGGAATTTGACCCTTTGTAACTTAAATTAAAAATAATTTTTAAATATTTTCTAGAATTATTATTAGCAGTAATTTTATATTTGATTAGTTAAATTCTGATTAGTTAAATTCTGTACCATGGACTTGAAAACCATGAAACACTTAAATTGTGCTCTTTTGCTCTTTTTATGCATAATATCCAAATATCAGTTTTCAAGTCATCTGGTAAAATTGTATATATATATACGTATTTTTTAGGGTACTTTTCCACCTGTGAATCAATTCTGTTGTTCCGAAACGGGGATTAAAACCGTTGTTGCTCTTTGTTCTTGGTGCGGTTCGCTTTCACACTGCAAAGTTTCTAAACGGACCAAAATAGCAAAAACAAGTCAGTAAACTCTCCTCACATTGGTCAGAGTTTTACGGTATATTTTGCAGTCTCGCTTAGCTGTCGGGGGGTGGTGGTTTGTTAGTGTTTGACAGGGTACGTGCGACGTGTCTGCAGAGCGTGGAGGGATGTGGTGGGGTACAGCAGGGTGGACAACATGTTTGAAGACCGGGAGGGAGATGCACTATTATCGGGAGATTATCACTCGTTTGTGGGCATCCGGGAGTCTCCCGAAACTTCCGGGAGACTTGGGATGTCTGGAATGACCTCCCGTCCTACTCATAAACAGGGCCAGACGGAATCTGCGGACGTTTTTTGCTATTTCTGCGGAGAATTCCGTGTGGGCCTACTCATCAATCTCTCTTCACATAGCCGTATTCCTATTACACATCCATAAAACACTGTGATATAAACCGGGCTCAGATCGTATTGCTTTCTCACTACAATCAATCTGCTCCAGAGTTCGTTTCAATCGAGCCGAGACCACCTCATTCAGGCGATCTCGGACCGATTGTTTTGGCATGGATCAGAGCGTGATTGCTGGATTCACATATGCCAAACGAACCACGCTAACTGGGCAGACATGTTCCGAAACAAAAGTCTAGATGTGAAAGCACCCTTAGATATTAGATGTGTATGTGTCCTGAGCCTAAAATTTTGATACAGTCCAGAATACACTAACTAAAAGCTATTTATTATAACAAGTTTACACCAAAATATATAATCTGGCATATTTAGAGTAAGAATAACACACTTTACTTTTGAAACACTTTATGACAAGGTTCCATTAGTTAATGTTAGTTAAAATGAACAATACATATATTATCAATTCAGCTTTATTAACAATGCTGTTCATTAGCTATGTTTACAAACACCTACTTTTATGTGCATTTTAGATATGCGCATAAAAAAGGTTTATGAAAATGCCAAGATGCGCATAGATTTTGAAAAAACATGTGTGCATAACTGAGTAGTATAAACTTTTTTATTTAATAAGAAAAGTTGCTCATAAACTACAATGGAAACTTTTACCGAACAAATTTTGGTATGCTCATTAAAACAAGTCATGTGATTTTGTTATAAGTGATCATGTGATTGTAAAAATGTATATGAATGGATAAATTAGCAGGTTGAACACACTGTAAAACATCTGAAATGTTGTTTTGGTCATTCTAAAACGCCTCAACCATTTCAGTATTAGTGTTATTAAATGATCTATTACCTCCCAAGAAAAAATACACACAGCTTCTCCTAGTACAGCAAATTCCATTTTTACTTTTGATATTTGATGTCAGTTTGTCAAGAGGTGACGATTTTGTTCTCTTTGACTCAATGGAATGAATGAAACGCTGCTTTATTTGCATGTCTTATATGCGATATTCCTGTTTTCTGCATAAACTTAATTTGCATCTTTGGATAGAAACATTGTTAGTTAACTCACAGTGCATTTTCTAAGCATTACAAGCACAACTTTGGATTTGAATAACGCATTATAAGATTTACAAGTTTTGTTCATTCTTTATTTTTCAACTAATTGCTGCATTCTATTCATTGTTTGTTTCTGTTTTTAAATGTTACACAACATTAAATAATGAAACCCAACTGTAAAGTGTGACCCAAGATGTATTTGAGGATATATTAAGACTAATTAATTACCACAGTGTGGTCCTAAAACTCACTAACAAATTAAAAATGTAAAAACGTATACTTTGTCACAACCCTTCAAATCGTTAGCTTTTACATATTTATCACCAAGACGTTTTTAATCCGTTAAAACATAATTTTTAAACAAATATCTCTTTTAGATGATAGAATATATTACCCATTTATCATCTTATAAGTCAAGAAAAGCATGCCCTATGAGACTAGTTGCGCAAAATCTTTCCGAAAAATGTAATCAATGAAAATATAAAGCAAGTAGAAGCAATTAAGTTTCAACTAGCATCTAATTTCCAAATCTTTTAATTCTTGCGTTATTTCACAGTTAAAGTATATTGAGCGAGCATTGCCTTTTAGCTAACACTACCTCCATTGCTGTCAGAAGCATCACACATACACCAACGGGAGTGTGCTGCATATGGATAATGAATGAGGACATCCTTAACTGTGTCTGTATTTGTGTGTGTATGGCTGTGGGCAATCTGAATGTTCTCTGGTGTCTGTCCTAGAAATCCCTCAATCTAATATACCCCGCTGCACTGACACCAACAGCGGATCTGTCTGCACATAATCTCCTCTTTTTTTTTTTTCCTGACCCACATTTGCACATTTACATACTGTGCGAGCCTATATAGACACACATCTATAGCGTCTATCTATACGACAGCAGATAAGGCACACAACGTCCCACAGTCAAACACACAAAGCGTGATCACACACAGAAACAATGTTATCCATCTCGGAACACATTGCTGCCATTCATTGGGCTTTTTGATCTGATAGGGTCTTTCATGAACGGGTCATGTCTGCTAATGTACATAGGGCATCAGATTCCAGAGCTCAAAAGAAATATTGCAGCACATTTTTTTAAATACTAGCTTCTACCTTTTTTATAAGCTTATTTTGTAAGCTGAATCAATTAACTTTATAGGTTTTTTGACCTTTTTTTTGTATTACACTGACTTAATGTCAAGTTAAATCTTGTATAACTTAAAAAAATTATAGTACAATAAAAAGTAGGCTTCTGCTGTTATAAAATGTTTTTGTTTTGATTAATTACTGCTACTAAGCTTTATTACTGTATACAGTATTATCATGATATTGAGTTAGGCTGCAGCAAAAAAAAAAAAATCACTTTAACAGA